TTTTTGAGACGGAGTCTCGCTCTGTCGCCCAGGCTGGAGTGCAGTGGCGCGATCTCGGCTCACTGCAAGCTCCGCCTTCTGGGTTCACGCCATTCTCCTGCCTCAGCCTCCCGAGTAGCTGGGACTACAGGCGCCCACCACCGCGCCCGGCTAATTTTTTGTATTTTTAGTAAAGACGGGGTTTCACCATGGTCTCGATCTCCTGACCTTGTGATCCGCCCGCCTCGGCCTCCCAAAGTGCTGGGATTTCAGGCATGAGCCTACTGAAGCTTCTTAACTCTCTTTCAAACCAGATGCACTTTCCCTAAGAATCCCTAAGCCTTGTGGAGTTGCTCCCAAGTCTCCTTTCCTTACCTGGCTATTCAGCTTTCTCGCCTTCCCCTATATGTGTTCCCCGGGAGTTCTGGAACCACCATTTCCTCAATGGAGATCATACGTACAAAAGCAGTTTACAATGCACAGTGTGAGAATAAAATACTATCAAGGAATAAAGCCTTCTCTTTTCTCTCCCCACAATCTCTGTCCTTCTCTCAGGCTATTTCTTATGCCTTCCTCTCCCCATACACTGTTGCTCCCTCTTCACCCAGCAGGTTTGGTTTGGTGTGGGGTGGGAACCACAGCTATGTGCTGCACAGTGGGCAGTGTCAGGATGCAGGCAGGCATCTCAGCCCGAGGCCTTGGCAGAGTTCCCAGGCAAAGCCATCGGCCCAGGCCAGGACAGTAGGCATGGATAAGGTGGGAGAGTGCGTAAGTACGGTGACTGTAGCCCCCCAGCACCAGTAGCTCCCCCTGCAGCACAGCACCTGCAGCTCCCACATGGGGGGAGGGTAGGGGTGCCAGGTGAGTCCAGCTATCAGTCCTTAGTTCATAGGCCTCAAAGCTTAGCAGGTCCCCAGTCTCACCCAGCCCACCTGCCACATACACCCGCCCACCCAATGCAGCCATGACATGGCCAGCCCGAGGTACCCCCATAGGGCTCAGAAATGTCCCTGGCTTCTCAAGTTTGGGGTCATAGTGCAGGAATGAGGCCAGGTATTGGCCAGTCCCACCACAGCCACCGCTCACATACAATTGGCCCTCCAAAATCGCAGCTGCGTGGGCAAAACACGGTGCTGGAAGTGCAGGTGCTGGCCTAAGGGAGAACAGGACACAAGATAAGGCAACTAGCATCTTCGACTCTCCTTCTAGTCCAAGTCTCCTAATCTCTCCCAGATGCCCCCTTGCCTGCTCACCTCCAGACGTCGAGCTCAGGGTTGTAGGCCTCCACAGAGTCCAGGGCAACACCATTGTGTCTTCCACCCAGGGCATAAAGTTGTCCATCCAGTGCCACCAACGGGAAAAGGCTTCGAGCCTGGGACAAAGGAGCCATCTCCTCCCAGCCCTCTTGACTGGGCTCCCACCTGGACACAGTAGAACGAGAGAGTGGAAGAGTGACTCTGGGCATCTGTGGTCGGCTAGGCCAGCAATTTCTCTCCCTGCCCACCTTAGGGCCTGCCACACCCTACCCACTCTTGAAGCTTGTACCTGAGAGTTGAAGCCAGGGTGTTGGAGTGACTGTAGAAATCTTGTCCCCCACACACATAGAGTTCACTTCCTGCCAGGCTCGCAGCCCCATGCCGGAAGCGTCCTGGGGCAGGCAGGGCAGGCAACTGCCCCCACTCAACAGTTCGTACCAGTCCCACACCACAGCGGAAGGCCCGGACCCACCACACTGCTTGGGATGGTTGTCTTAGGGCCATGTCTGGTCTGAGCCCATCCCCGCCAATCACTACCAGTGCCCGGTCAGGCTCCCTCCGTCTCTCTTGGCCTGGAACATCAGCCTCTACCATCAGCTGGTGCAACAGATCCCGGGTCAGGGGTGGAGGTAGCCCGGCTGCCCGCACCCTCCGCAACTCCCTGGTGGACATGCGGCCAAAGCGGACGCATTGCAGCAGGGCCTTGGCCTCTGACTCCTGGGTCTCAGGGTTGGCAGCTAGCCAACACCGTGCAGCCACAAAGGCCTCAAACTCCTCCTGCACATGGAGCTCATCACTATCCAGGAGCTCAGCCAAGCAGGCAGCTGGTAAAGAAGGGAAAACAGGACACAAGGCTACAGCAGGCAGGTGGGTGAGGAGGTAGTGACGGGCTTTGCTCCAGAGCCTCTCCAACCCAGGGGCTTCAGCCATGGGGAACAGGGCCAGGCAACGGGCAGGGCTGAGGCCCCGTGCCAAGCCTTTCTGACACAAATCCAGACAGGAAGAGCTCTGGTACTGCAAAGCAGCCTGGGCAGCTCTCAGTAGTCCTGGCCACCTTGCCCGCACAACTCCAGAGTAAGCAAAAGAGACGAGAAGTCGCAGGTCCTGGGTGGAGATGGTCCTCAGAGATACCTCTGTGCCCTGGGATTCCCTCATTCCGCTCAGGAGCATGGCCCCAAAGAACTCACTGCCACAAGCCAGAGCGGCTCGGTGCACTGTAGGAGGGGAGAAGAAATAGAGGAGGACTGAAAGTGTTGCAAGACCGATAGGCACTACCCCAACTTGGTACCTCCAACTTTGGCCCTCCAAGCCACCCACTGCTACAGGCCAAACTGTGGTGTGCATCAGAATACCATGGGGTAGTTGTTAAAATGCGGGCTTCAGTGGCTCACTCCCAGAGATTCTGATTCAACGGTTCTGGATGGAGACCCTAGAAATTTGTATTTTAACACTTCAAGTAACCATATGTGATTCTCATGTTAGTGGTCTGAAGACACTTTGATAAACATTGCTTTAGTCTTTTTGGTCAGATCAGTTAGAAAAAGAGTCTTGATGAATCAGGTTGAGAAGAAAGCATTTGCTAAGAGGGGCATAAAATAAATGGAAAAGACCAACATGCAACTTATATAGGTCTGTCTATGTTGTGCACAAAATAAAATTCTTTACAATTTCAAGAGCCAAAACTGTAAGCCATTCTGTTAGATTTTGCTGGGAAAGTGGCACCACTCGGGAATGGCCGTAGTCCAACCTCATCAGATTGCTGTCTCCTCTTGCCTAAGATTTAGTGTTTAATGTTTTCCACGTGTTCCAGCTTTTCTCTGCATAACCCTCTCCTGTTCTTGGTATAATTTATAGAATCACGAGATCTGAAACTTGAGACCTTCAGAATAATATAATTCAATTATTCCCTTTAAAATAAGGAAACTGGTTGGGGGTGGGGGCACATGCCTATAATCCCAGCACTTTGGGAGGCTGAGGTGGGTGGATTACTTGAGGTCAGGAGTTCAAGGCCAGCCTGGCCAACATGGTGAAACTCCATCTCTACCAAAAATACAAACATTAGCTGAGCATGATGGCAGGTGCCTGTAATCCCAGCTACTTGGAGGCTGAGGCAGGAGAATCGCTTGAACCTGGGAGGCGAGGGTTGCAATGAGCTGAGATTGCACGACTGCACTCCAGCCTGGGTGACAGAGCGAGACTCCATCTCTAAATAAATAAATAAATAAAATATGGAAACTGAGTTGAGTCCTAGAGAAAGCATGTGATTTATTTTTCATTTCCATGCAGTGGCTGTCTGGGCAGATCATCTCCATCCACTGTCACTGTTGTCAGGCTGCAATAAGCATGCTTGTGTACCAGTACCTTGGTTATCTGCATGGTCCTCACGACAATGAAACTGTCCTATTAACCTATGCTGTTAAACAATTAGACCTCATACTCAGCATCACCTATGGATTATTCTGGCCAAAATATTTAACTTGAATCTGTTCAACTCTTTAGATCTAAAGTCAAGTTTATAGGAAGTTGAAAGGCTAAAGGAACAATTTAGACAAAACCATGAGGGGAAAAACCATACAAATCAAGAAAATGGAGCATTTTATAAAATAACCAATCTTCTTCTTTTTTTTTTTTTTTTTTTTAGATAGGGTCTTACTCTGTCACCCTGCCTGGAGTGCAGTGGTACAATCTCGGCTCACTGCAACCTCCACCCACCAGGTTCAAGTGATTCTCGTGCCTCAGCCTCCGGATTAGCCGGGACTACAGGCACACACTACCATACCTGGCTAATTTTTGTATTTTTAGTAGAGACAGCGTTTCGCCATGTTGGACAGGCTAATCTTGAACTCCTGGCCTCAAGTGATCTGCCTGCCTCGGCCTCCCAAAGTGCTGGGATTATAGGCACGAGCTACCGCGCCCGACCCAGGATAACCAATCTTACACGTTATTGTCTTTACCATCAATATATAAAGTAATAAAAAAAAAAAGGGGGAGGGAGGACTGTACTAGATTAAAGGAAGCTTAAGAGACATGCAACTGAAAATAGCATAGTCCTTGATTAATTCCTGGGTTGAACAAACTCAATTTAAAAAATGTTTTTTGGACAATTGGGAAAATATAAATGTGGACTAGGTGATATTAAGAAATTACTGGCCAGGCACAGTGGCTCATGCCTGTAAACCCAGCACTTTGGGAGGTTGAGGCAGGTGGATCACATGAGGTCAGGAGTTCGAGACCAGACCAGCTAACATGGTGAAATCCCGTCTCTACTAAAAATACAAAAATTAGCTGGGCGTGGTGGTGCATGCCTGTAATTCCAGTTACTCGGGAGGCTGAGGCAGGAGAATCGCTTGAATCTGGGAGGTGGAGGTTGCAGTGAGCCAAGATCATGCCATTGTACACCAGCCTGGGCGACAGAGCAAGACTCCATCTCAAAAAAAAAAAAAAAAAAGGAAAGAAATTACTATTAATTTTGTCGTGCAAGATAAAGGTATTCTGGTTATGAGAAAATGTCCTCTTTATTTTTTTCCTTTCACACCTAGTCCCACAGAATTGTCCTGTTTTAAAAAGATACATACCCAAATACTTATGAGTAAAATGTCATAAATTTTCTTTAAACTTCAGCAAAAAATAAAATTAACAGATGAAATAAATATAGTAAAATATTAATTGTTAAATCTGGGTGATGGGTGTTTGAATGTTCATCTTAATATTTTTTGCTTTGTAAAATGCTTCATAACAAAAAGGTGGGGGGTAATGCTGCTAGAAGTCCTTTTAGGCAGGTCACAGAGGGCCAAACTCTTTAAGAACTCCATGCTGCTTTGACCAACTGACGCATGCGTGCCTCTCCCAAAGGGCAGGTGTTGTTCATACGACTTTCCACTGTCTTTTAAGCAGTAGGTAGTGGCCTGGTGCTTCCCAACCAGTAAACATCAATGACAGATCTCAAATATATATTGTCTGAGAAAATCTGCATTCCTCAAAACAAGCTAAACCATCTCAGCTCCCATATCATCAATCAACCTATAGTTAGAGTCAACCCTGAAAGGGCTCACAACCACTTGTATTCACCTCTTACTCATTACTATTCCCCAGGATTTTAAGTGACAGATTCCCAACCATTAAGTAGGAATATTTCCTAGGGAAATAAAAGCAGTGATATGAGTATGCTTAAATTCAAAAGCCTAGTGAGAATTTTATGATTATGAAACATTTAAATTCCCTCTCCATCTAGTGCTATCATAAATGAAAATAAAGACTTTTGGAGTAGTTTTCCTTCTAGGAGTCCCAGAAGCACTTTAGTTCCCAGTCACTCCTCTAGTGGACAGTAGCTATGTGACTTTGGACAAGTCTTGGATTCTGATTTCTACATCAGCAAAGTGTAAGAGCCCAACTAGATAATCTCTAAACTAATCCATTGTAATTTTAAACTTTCACATGTCCACATGGCCTAGTGGAAGCAGACTGGATTAGTGATGTAGGCTTGTATCCTGGTTGTCCCAAGTCAACATCTCTGAATTTAATGTTCCTTATCTGCACCTATAGATAATGATATGGACCTTACCAGCTTTCAGTGAAAATTAAAAAGAGATGTCATGTGTAAAAATTTCAGGTACCCAGTGCCTCACTAAATGTTAGTAGACTCTGAATAATACTCAACTTATGCAACCCTACTTAGCTTTCCTGGTGATGAGCAGAGTTAACTTCAAAGTGCCATGACCAGTCCGGGTGCAGTGGCTCATGCATGTAATCCCAGCTGAAACAGGTGGATCACTTGAGGTCAGGAGTTCGAGACAAGACTGGCCAACCTGGTGAAACCCTGTCTCTACTTAAAAATACAAAAAAAAATTAGGCAGGCATGGTAGCAGGTGCCTGTAATCCCAGCTACTAGGGAGGCTGAGGCAGGAGAATGGCTTGAACCCAGGAGATGTAGGTTGCATTGAGCCAAGATCGTGCCACTGCACTCCAGCCTGGGTGAGAGTGAGATGCTGTCTCAGAAAAAAAAAAAAAAAAAAATGCCATGGCCTGGTAACCTTAAACAGTACCAGAGCTTGCTCATTAGCTGCGGGCCCATAAGTCAGCCATGGTGTCAAGCACACCAAGGTGAAAGGACACATTGAGTTTTCCACCATGTTCCCTGGCTTTCCTGCGTCCTGAATGGAAGATGCCAAGAAGGGCTTTTGGTTAATTTCTGTTTGAGTCAATCCGCTTTCTGCTTGTTCTACTGCCATGTATTGTACCCTTAGCTCTAGCCAGCTGGCTGGAGCTTCCTTGTTACTGGACACAGGAAAAGTCAGACAGAGGGTCAGTTTAAATTTGTCAGTGCGCCTAGAAAACAACTCGACTGCGCATGCCCGGCTCTCAGTGGGGCAGGAGTGGCACCAAAGGCCACCCCAGGGAAATTCTAACAGCAGCAGGGATCACGACCATCATGGTGGGGATCAAACCACCTGCTGCTTGCACACACCATTCCGGTAGCATATGCACCTGCAGTAATTTAAGGCCCTCACCCCGCAGCTGGCAGCCGCCTGCCTCCAGCTTCAAGTCACACCCGACGCCCTCTCGGTAGAGGAGCTCGATTTCGCGCAGGTTCTCCCTCAGCTCCTCTGCCTGGCTGGGCTTCTTTACACATTCCCCGGCATTTCCAGCCCTCTCGCATGTCCGCTGGGCAGCAGCCTTCACCCGGGGCGCTCCCAGCGCCTCGGCTGCGGCCAGCACATCTCCCTGCGGGGCGGGGCCCAGCACCCCCTCATAGGCAAAGGTCAGCACAGCCTCCCAGCCCCCTGGGGACACCTCGAGGCTGAAGGGGGACCGCGGACCTCCGCCGTCCAGCAGCCTGTCTCGGAAGAGGCTGCTGATGGCGGCCAGGATCACCCGATGCACCCCGTATACCCGCCCCGCGACTGACACCTCTTCGTCCAGCAACAATCTCTGCTCCCGCAGCCGCTGGGCCTCAGCGAAAAACTGGCTCGGATGCTCCTCGCTGCGCAGCCACTCCGGCTCTGCCGCATCTTCATCTTCTTCCTCTTCCTCTTCTTCCTCTAGGGACAAGGCTGGAAAGGGAAGTTTCCCTGGGACCAGGGGCCTGGAGCCAGGCTCTTCCTGAGGAAAGGAAGGCAAACTGGGGTCCTCGTCGTCGGGGGAAGGAGGCCAGGAGGGGGTTCTCTGGGCGTGCACAGGGAGTCCAAGGCAGTCCTTCTGGACGGGATGAGAGCCACTCTCCAGCTCAGGGGGATGATGGGGGGTGTCCAAGACGCTCATGCCGAGGTTTGCTGGATAGCTGCGGGTGAGCAGAGGCAAGACAGCCTGGCGTCAGAGCTGAACCCAAAGAGGCCAGAACAACCATGTCTCCAGCCAGTCGAAATGTCAGTCTCTCCCCTGCTCCAACACCCTCCTCCTACCCTAAGCCACATCCCAACACTGGAGTATCTGGGATGTACAGGAAAACTATAGGGTACACACGGTGCAGTGAAACATGCAAGAAGCCGTGTAAAGATCCAGTAACCGGGACCACACCCCTCCCCTATTGCCCCCATCCTTTTAGTCACCCTCAGGAGACACCAACATTCCGCTTGCCCTCTCACTTGAGTGCCTGCTGTGCTTGGGGCTGCGTGGCAGCGGGAACTTGCCCACATGGCATCCCACTCAGCCAGTGGCCCCATGGGGCTAATTATAGCCGGTCCTGGCTGGCTAGGCACTTGGCACCTGGTGTCCTAACTCTGACACCCAATCCCCTGGGCTCCCTCCCAGACTAACGTCCCCACCCTTCCACCTGTAGGTCATAGGGGGTGCTGATCTAGGCAAATTAGAAAACCAAGGAGAATGAGGGGATCCGGTGGAATGCGTCCAAGGCCAGAAGGGCTGTGCCACTAGAGTGGGCTGGAAGGGTCAGGCAAAGAGTCTGGACCAGGCTTTGGCTGTTGACTTTTCTGTGCATGATAAAGCTGGGACCCCGCCGGGCATGGTGGTTCTTGACTGTAATCCTAGCACTTTGGGAGGCCAAGGTGGGTGAGTCACTTGAACCCAGGAGTTTGAAACCAGCCTGGGTAACATGATGAAACCCCAGATTTTTTATCTCTACCAAAAAATACAAAAATTAGCTAGATGCAGTGTCTCATGACTGTAGTCGTAGCATTGTGGGAGGCCAAGGCAGATGGGTCACTTGAGGCTAGCAGTTTGAGACCAATCTGGGCAACATGGTGAAACCTCATCTCTACAAAAAAATATAAAAATTAGCCAGGCATGGTGGGACACAACTTTAGTCCCAGCTTCTTAGGAGGTTGAGGTGGGAGGATCACTTGAGCCCAAGAGGCAGAGGTTGCAGTGAGCTGAGGTCGCACCACTGCACTCCAACTTGGGTGACAGAGCAAAACCCTGTCTCAAAAAACGAAAAAGCTGAGACCCAGGAGCGAACATAGCCCAGCTTTACCCACAGAGGGCAGAAGAGTGGGGAAAGTGAAGGGCCAGGGGGCAGGGCTACGGACCTAGGTGGCTCACCCCAGCACAGCGCTTCCTATCTGTCCAGAGGTGGGGTCCAGGGTGAGAGCCTGAAATCCAATCCTGTGTCTTTGGAAAAGTCTGGGGAATTCTAACTCTTATCTTGGTGCTGGGATCAGAACCAGACAGTGGAAGGTGTGCTTGATCTGCATGCTGTGAGGACCAGAGTCCTGGACTAGATGGGCTATGGACATGCAGGTATTCCATTTGAGCCAGACGGTAACAGCCACTCCTTCTCCTTCCGAGACAACACTTCCTTTCTCATCCTGAGGCCAAGTGCTTAACTAAAGCCCCTAAAAGCCGTGCAATCACTTTGTGCCGCAGTTTTGAATGTCATCTTGCGGAAAGGATTTAGGGAAAGGTGCAGTGACACACTTCCTCTCCCTTCTCTTGGGGAGGCAGGACAGGCCAAGGGCTCCTACTTCCTGGCCTATAAAATGTCTGGTCCAGGCTGGATAGGTTGACTCCACAGGCAGACTTAATAACGGAAGGAGGCACAACTGTTCCTTGTGATTCAGATGAAAGGGCTCATGTGGAGGGCAGGGTAGGGTGGGAAAGTGGGCTGACCCGCACAGCACCCCCTCCTACTTTCAGAGCTGTCTCCATTTCCCCTTTTGTGGCCTGGGTACCTCGGCAACTCCGAGTAGCTAGCATTCCCTGGGTGAGCCTAGCCAGCAGGTGCACTCCCCAAAATGGTTCTACTGAGAGGCAGTTTATGGTTATCCTGGTCAGCAAATGGGGAGAGAGTGTCCAGGCTCTGCACCCTCTTTCCCAGTTCAGACATTTCTAATGCCTCTCATGGTGTCCCCAGAGAAAGACAATGTGGCCAGCATCTTGACCCCCAACCAGGAGCTGGAGGAACTGCAATCTGGTGGAGACATACCCCAAGCCAGCCTCTGCTCACCACCTGCTTACAAGGACAAGGACACCGGACCCTGCTACGAGTTCTATGCCAACTCTGTAGTCCTGGGATGGCTCCATACAGCTTGGTAAGACCCAGGTCCCACAGTGAACTCCTGAAGGTAGGACAAAATCTGCATGTGGGCTACCACCACCCTTCATGTAGCTCTGGGACTGCCCTCCAGGTCCATCAACTGTCCTCCTGGTTGCAGACACTCTGGCTAGCGAGGGGTCTTGGCATCTCAGTTATGTATGTGCTATCTCAGCCATGAAGTAGCGCCACGTCCACCTCAAGAGGAACCCCACACCCAGCCACACTCCCCAGATGATCTGGAGAATTCTGGAGCCAAAACCGGAAAGGCCCCAGTGCACTTCAGCTGGGTCACAGGAGCCATGGTAATGGATTGGCGCTCATGGTTCCCTAAGTCTGGGGATCTAGGCAGGTGAGAACTTTTTGCTCCAGGGGAGTTTTTGGGAAGTACCTCTGAAGAATGGGGCAAGGGGTGGGGTTCACACTGGAGACTGTGACCCCTCCCTTACCACCCTGCTCCCTGGATTTACTGTATGCTCAACATCTGGGGCATCATTCTCTACCTGCAGCTGCCTTGGATCACTGCTCAGGCCGGCACAGGTATGAGCTCAGAGCTCTCCTGGGCAGTAGGAAGGGATGTACATGTATGAACAAATTCCCATCCTCACCCCAAGGCTCACATGGCTTATCGTCCTTAGTCATACCGTCACTGGGTTGTCTTACCTCAGCCATCTCCAGTAACGGCAAAGTCAAGGCTGGTGAGTCTGTAGTGACTCCCACTCCTCCCTTCATGTTTCCCCATCCCTCATATCTGTTAATGAATTGTATGGTGTTCTCCGATGACCACATTTGGTCATTTCCTCACTCCCCCAACCCCTGCTATACAAACACTTTCATTTCCCCTTTTGGTACTGTTGGTACCTAGATAGCCCTACTGCTTTGGGATGGGGTTTTCTTCCCATGAAACAATGGGTATCGTCAATCTCATTTCCAGGCTCCTGTATGATTCAAGATGCTTCAGAAAATAGGACTGACATGGGTGTGCAGAATGGGAGCTGCCTGGGTGCAAAGTGCCAGTATAGCTGGGATTTCAGCAGTTGTCGAGAGCAAGGGTCCTGCCTCTATGGGCTCTCTAATCACTACGAGGTGGGTGAACCAGAGCAGAAATGTAGAGAGAGAAACCTTGTCCATTGCCTGGCATAGCATAGATGTTTATTAATTTGAATGGGGCAAAACCTTCAAAGATGCAGATCAATTTTAATAAGTCTGGGAAAACTAGGTGAAAATATGGGTGGAATGCATTACTTTGAAAATGCATTGATTTTTGCCTCTGTCTGCCCTTTACCTCAGGCCATGAACGTGGTGTCTGCCTTTAGCCCTCTGACATCTGCTGGAATCTTGAGTGCCGCTCTGTTCTGTGCCCTTTCCTGCTTTGTTTCAGCCCCTAATATCTTCCAGGCTAGTTGAGATCTTAGCAAGAGGCTTGCAAGAGAAAGGAGAGAATGCCCGTAGACATGGTCATGCCATGTGTATAATTTTTGAGGAGGAGGGGCAAAAGAGGGCTCAGTTCTCAGCAACCAGGAGTTAGATGGTAACTTCGGGAGATGGAGATGAATGTAGCTGGCTAGCGTTTAAAGAGATAATCCAAGCCCATATAGCAAAATTCAAAGTCTGCCTGTAAATCAAGGGAAAATGTGGGGAAGGTGTCACTCTTTTTTTTTTTTTTTTTGAGACAGATTCTTACTCTGTCACGCAGGCTGGAGGGCAATGGCATGGTCTAGGCTCACTGCAACCTTCGCCTCCCAGGTTCAAGCAATTCTCCTGCCTCAGCTTCCCAAGGACAGGCATGTGCCACCACACCCGGCTAATTTTTGTATTTTTAGTAGAGATGGGGTTTCACTATGTCAGCCAGGCTGGTCTCGAACTCCTGACCTCGTGATCTGCCCGCCTTAGCCTCCTAAAGTGCTAGGATTACAGGCCTGAGCTCCCGTGCCCAGCCCAGTGTAACCCTTTTATCTACCTCCCCACTCTCAGTTTTTCCCCTCCCTCATTCCCAGGGATCTTACACACCCTACTCCCCCTACTCCTATGCTTTCTGCGTCTGACCCCTAAACTCCCTTGACTTCTGTCTATGCTCCCCACTCTCCTGCCTCTTTACAGGAAGAGAGGGCTCTCATTCTCCCACTTCCTGGGACCCTCCCCTGTTGAACGCCACGACCTCTTGCAGCAGCTGTGCCAGGATAAACCACACCGAGTCACTGGCTTTTGGGAAAGGCCATGGCAAGAACCACGAGCCTCTGTGGGGCTATCTGCTCACCTTCCTCATTGCTGTAGGTTTCATCCTTATCGGTGAGTACTCACCACCCCACCCTCCACACCAGGCTCTGTTAATCACCATTCCTCTCATGCCCTTCCCAGCCCTACCTCTGGCTTCTAGGACCTGCTCCTAAAACCTCTTTTCTATCTCTGTTTTCCTGAAAGTGGATGAAAATGTCTCCTAACCTTGCAGTAGTAGGGGTGGTATGTGGGGTGGGGTGGGAGTCGGGGGTGGAGTGAGGAGTAAGAAGGGAATAGAGAGAATGGAGAAAGTAATAAAACAATGTCCTGGACTTCTAGACCTGGATCTTATGTCATTAGTGTGGAGACTCACTCCTGACCTTT